AAAGTGATTAAGAAGGCTATGGATGAATTTGCTAATTCAGCGGGTCTTGTTCCAAATCTGTCTAAGAGTCACATCTTTTTTGGGAATGTTAAGGAGCAATTTAAAAGGAAAATTTTGAGGATTCTGCCTTTTGTCGAAGGTAAACTTCCTATGAAGTACCTTGGGATCCCTTTAATTTCTACTAAGCTTTTTATTAGAGATTGTAAGGGTCTTTTAGAAAAAGTTAAGAAGAGAGACAATGATTGGAAAAACAAATCCCTGTCTTATGCTGGAAGACTTCAATTAATAAGTGTTGTTCTTGCTTCGCTTTCTGTTTATTGGGCTTCAGTGGTTTTATTACCAAAAGGCATAATTAAAGAAGTTGGAAAAATAATGAGGGATTTCCTTTGGAACAGTGGGCAAAATTGTAAAGGAGTTGCCAAGGTGTCATGGAATAAAATTTGCAAACCAAAGATTTATGGTGGTCTTGGGCTGAAAAATCTCAAAGACTGGAACATTGCTCTTCTGTCGAGTAGAATTTGGAAGCTTATTAGTGGACAAAATTCCCTGTGGGTGAAATGGGTTAATTTTTATTTGCTTGAAGGTAGAAGCTTTTGGGATGTGGGTTCAAAAGATAAAATGAGCTAGAGCTGGAGAAATCTTTTAAAGATTAGACCTTCTTTAAGAGATTTTTTCTATTCACGGATTGGAAATGGAAAAGGAACTAACATGTGGTTTGATAATTGGCATCAATTGGGACCTTTGAGTTATGTCCTTTCTCCTAGGGAAATTACTAATGCTGGATATAGCATAAGGGACAAAGTCAGTGATGTTATTGTTGATGAAAATTGGAGTTGGCCTTCTGAATGGAGTGAAATGATTCCTCATTTGAGTGATTTCCCTGTGCCAAGGATCATCAGAGAGAAAAAATATGAAGTGTATTGGGTGAATTACAAAGGTAAGATTGTTCCATTTGCGGTTAATCAGGTCTCTTCTTCTCTTATGTGCCATGAGTCAATTGTTGAATGGTATGACTTGGTTTGGTTTCAAAACAGAATTCCAAGTCACTGTTTCATTCTTTGGCTTGCTATCCTTGGAAGACTTAGAACACAAGATAGAATGAAGAGATGGAAAGATTCTAATGATCTCAGTTGTGTTTTTTGCAATTCTCAAATGGATTCTCATTCCCATCTGTTTTTTTATTGTAAATACACAAAGGAAGTATGGAAATTGATGAAAGATAAGGTGAAAATTATTCATAGATCTGGTAATTGGTTTGATATCATTGATGAGCTCCAATGTTCTTTAAAAAAGAAAAGCATCAATAATTTCATTAAAAAAATTGCTTTGGCGGCTTCCATTTATCATATATGGAATGAAAGAAATAAAAGATTGTTTGGGAAACAGAGTAATTCAGTGGAAAATGTTGTCAAGATTATCACATAAGACGTTAGATTGAAGATTTTTAGCCTTAAATTGGGATATCTTGGGCTTAATGAAGAAATGTGCAAGGAGTGGAATATTCCTGTTAAAAGTAATGATTATCTTCATGGAAGTTGAAATTAATCTGAGAATTGGGTTGTGTGAGGATTTGTCAGAGTGGCTGGCATGGAATTGGTGGGAAGAGAGCCATTATGGAGTTCGGATGGTGAAAATAAGAAAGAATGTAAATAAAAGCGGGAATTCAAGTAATTCAATCAAAGGGTATTTTGGTCAAATCTGGAAATTTAATAAAATGAAAGAATTAATAGCGATTGGCTTGCTTGTTAAAGATATCGGCTATAATTCTGATGCAGGGGATTGGAAGGAGATGGATTTGAAAAATAAAAATCGCAGGTGCTTATTTCTTGTACAGGGGCTGTTTGGAATGAGGACTGATGAAGGAGCGATTGGAATATTTTTTGTCATGGGTGATAATTTCAATTATTTAAGGAGGGGTAATAGATTGCGTTTTAGTGAATTGTGTCACAGAGAAGGAAAAAATAAGAAACAGGGGCATACTGGGATTTTTTTAAAAGATAGTGAATTTGGTTTTTGGGTGGAGGGGTATTTTGGTAATTCTAAATTATACTGGCTTTTTATTCTTTTTAGAGATAATTGTGGGAGAGAGGATAAAAGGAAGGATTTTAATAAAAGCGAAAACTTAAGAATCTGGATCAAAGGGTATTTTGGTCAATTTTGGGGAAAAATTAAAATGAAAGATCAATTAGCGAATTGCTTGGGGATAATTGAAAATTGGAAGAAGGACATAGCGATTGGGTATCTAATGGGTGGGTATTTAGAAAAGCAAATGAAAGTTGAAGATGGAAGTAGGTGGTGTGATGTTCAGCGGGTTTTGGATTCAACTGAGATGAATAACAAGAAAGGGCAATTTGGGCATTTTCCTAATTTTGAAGATTTTTGGTGCTGGAATGATCATAATGGAGGTTGGTTGGTTTTGCAAAGTGTTTGGAATAATATTTCTGGGAATCAATTTTCTTTTCATAATTGTATAAGGAGACAGGGGCAATTTGGTCAAATTTATGAGAAGGGCGACATTTTTAATCAATTTATGATGATTCTCTGGAGTTTGGCTATTAAGAGACAAAATTGGAACTATTAGATATAGATGAATTCTTTTGTTTTTGAAGGAGTTCATATCCAATATTTTTTCAAAAGAATTGACGGACATGGGACTTTTACCAATTTTTCCCTTAAAATTGGATCGCAACTCGGTTTAATCCCGAGTATCATTTGGTTTATACCTTATGATGTGGTCACTTCTCATCAATATATGGAATTTATTTTCATTTATTGTGAAATCCCGCCTTGGAAACAAGGTGTGTATTTTCAAGGATTTGACGGACATGGGATTTTTATTACTTTTTCCCTCAAAAGTAAATTGCATCTCGGTTTGATCCCGAGTTTCATTTGGTTAAGGCCTTATGATGTGGTTTTATTTCATTTGCAATTGGATTTATTATTCAATCGTTATGATTCTCCGCCTTGGAAACAAGGTGTGTATAACCAAGGAATTCACGGCATTGGGACTTTTAACACTTTTTCCCTTAAAAGTGTTTTGCATCTCGGTTTGATCCCGAGATTCATTTGGCTAAGACCTTATGAAGTGGTTTTTTATCATTTTCATTTGGATTTATCCAATTGTTATGATCTTCCACCTTGGGAACGAGGTGTGTATACAAAAGGAATTGATGGATTTGGGATTTTTCTCACTTTTTCCCTTAAAAGTGAATTGCATCTCGGTTTAATCCCGAGTTTCATTTGGTTAAAACCTTATGAAGTGGACTTTTATCATTTTCAATTGGGGTTTCTCAATTGTTATGATCTTCCGCCTTGGAAACGAGGCGTGTATATAAAAGGAATTGTCGGATTGGGGATTTTTATCACTTTTTCCCTTAAAAGTGAATTGCATCTCGGTTTGATCCCGAGTTTCATTTGGTTAAGGCCTTATGAAGTGGACTTTTATCATTTTCAATTGGGGTTTCCCAATTGTTATGATCTTCCGTCTTGGAAACGAGGCGTGTATATAAAAGGAATTGACGGTTTTGGGATTTTTATCAATTTTTCCCTTAAAAGTGAACCCCCGCCTTGGAAACAAGGTGTGTATATCAAAGGAATTGACGGAATCGGGATTTTTATCACTTTTTCCCTTAAAAGTGAAATTCCGTCTTGGAAACAAGATGAGCTTATTCAAGGAATTGACGGTTTTGGGATTTTTCTCACTTTTTCCCTTAAAAGTGATTTTCCGCCTTGGAAACAAGGCGAGTATATTCAAGGAATTGACGGATTCGGGATTTTATTCACTTTTTCCCTTAAAAGTGAACACACACCATGGAAACATGGTTTTTACATTCATGGAATTGACGGATATATTCTTTTTAGTTTCGTTGAAGATGGAGAAATTATAGGAAACTTATTGAGAGTTGTTGGGATGGAAGAAGATTGGAAGGCCTTATTGAAGATGTTTTTGAAGATCTTTGATATGCATAGAAGAGGTTTTGATAGCAAGTGCAATATTAAATTTGTTATTTTGGAAAGAATTGGAGGGATTTGGGCATACATATATTTTTTGGGAGCCATAGAGAAAAGGATTGGAAAAATTGGAAAATTGTGAATAGAGAGGATGAAAGTGTGTCTCATTTTAGCATTATACTTTCGCTTTACTTATATGAAAATAAAGATAAAAGGATGGAGAGAAGAAAGAAGATTGCTATTGTGGAATTCATTGGGAATTGGAATGTAGATACTATATTCATTTTATTGTGGAATTTGTGGGGTATTGTTGATCATGGGAATAGCGTTAATTTTAGCTTTGGGATTTGGAGCATACATAGAGATTGTTTATATGCAGATTGGAAGAAAAGATGGCGAGTTCAATTCGAGTTGGAATGGATTTTTGAAGACCACTCCGGATTGTGGAGTTGGGATAAAATAAATTGTATTTCCTTTGGTTACAATGTTGTTAGGCCTAGTCTTTACTTTTGGTATCTTCGTGATATTTGGATTTTTGTCATTTTTGGGGTATGTCCAAAAATGACATAACTCTTGTATTTCTTTTTCTGAATTTATAAAATTTTTCCGGGGCTTCGGCCTCTTTCCCAAAAAAAAAAAAAAACCCTAAACCCTAAAACCCTAAACCCTAAACCCTAAACCCTAAATGCTAAACCCTAAACCCTAAACCCTAAACCCTAAAACCCTAAACCGTAAACCCTAAACCCTAAACCGTAAACCCTAAACCCCTAAACCCTAAACCCTAAACCCTAAACCCTAAACCCTAACCCCTAAACCCTAAACCCCTAAACCCTAAACCCTAAACCCTAAACCCTAAAACCCTAAACCCTAAACCCTAAACCCTAAACCCTTAACCCTAAACCCGTTTTGTTCTTGTTTTCGTGAGTAACTTGCTGGGAATTCTGGTTGATACCGGTGCCGGAATTCCACCATCATTGATTGAATTTACTCTAAATCCATCTTCAATTGTTTATACGATTGGAAGTGGGATGTTCGGGAAAATTGGAAATATGTTCGGCATGAATTACACTGATCCTCCTGATCCGGATAACAAAAAATTATACGATGAAGAATTGGAAGCTGATGTTGGAGCTAAGCGAAGAGGTAGAAGAGTTGTTCACAAGGAATTTTCGCCTTATTCTGGGAACAAACATCTTCGATTGAAAGAGAAAATGGAATCTAATGCTAATCGAATTCAGGAAGAGAAGAAATATTTGAATTCGAAATCTCCAATTGAAATATCGAAGGTTGTGCTTAGAGCTGGAATACGTGATGTTATTAAAACTGGATATGGCAAGGAAAATATCGATCCGGAGTTCATTAAATCGGAGCTTAATGCTTTTGAGAAGGAGATTGCGGATGGGAAGAAATTGGAATCGCAGAACAAAATCAAATCAATTGGGATGTCTAAATTGAGGAATGAAATGGTTGAGGAAAAAGGATTTGTGATGCTGCCAGTAACATCAGACATGCTCGAGGGATTTAATTCTTCAAAGGAAAATACTAGTGCTAATCGATCTTCTTCTCAGTCGCCAGTTGATGAGTCGAATTATTCCAAGGGCCTCAATTCTTTGAAGATAATGAAGACTGGATCGTCTTCTTCAGCCCCTGGTTCTGTAATTGAAACAAATGATGGCAAGGGCATTTTGGGAAAATTTCCTTTTTCGCAAGCTGCTCCAGTTAATTCAGGTACCCCTTTGGTCTTTGATGATAATCCTATTGCCCCAATTAGTTGTCCTACTAATTGTAATGATGAAGATATGAAAGATTCAATGAATGAGAATGGGAATTTGGAAGTTGATTCTGGTAATAATATGAAGAAGGAACAGGGAGCTAATTTCTTGAACATGGATTTTTCGAAACCTGTTATTTCCCCTGCAGCTAAGTTGGTTAGTGATTTCAATAAAAAATCCTATGCACGTATTGTAACATCCGGACTTTTGCCAGGTATCATGTAAATTGAATTTTGTTAAATTGTGAGGGGGACTCGGCGAGTTGGAGCTCAGACTCGCCGAGTAGAGACGCGGATTGGACGATGGATCGCGCCCGGACTCGGCGAGTCCAGGATATGGACTCGGCGAGTCTGCGCTGTGTAGTGAAACCCTAAATTTCCGGGTTTGAGACCTATTTAAAGGGCCTTATGGCCGTCATTTGTGCTCACCCAACCCTGAGAGAGAAACCCTTGAGTGCTTGGACGATTTGAGAGAGAAAGGAGCATATCTTGACCTTGTGGGTGCCATTTAGCAAAGAAGGAGGTGATCCTAGGCAAGAGGAAGTAAAGGAGGTTGCTATTTCGTGGATTTGGAGCCTAGATCATCAATCTAGAGGTATGATTTCGGTTTATATTCTGTTTGGTGAAGTATTATGCGATTTAGGGCTTTTGTGGACATTTATGGGATGATTTGATGCCCAATGGTTCCCTCCTTGTGCTGAGGTTTTGGATCTGGATCCATAGAGGTCCAGAGAGCCTCACTCATCAAGCTTTTTGTATGGCAATGGAGTTCATGACCTTGTGTTGTAGTATTTGAGTCAAAAACATCATATATGGTCATATAGAGGTTGTATGTGCATCAAGATTGTAACTTTACGTGCTAAATGAGCTTGGAAGGACTGGATCTATGGGTTAATGGACTGGATCTGACCTTATGAGCAAGTTTGAGTCATTGCATGGCACGGACTCGCCGAGTCCGAAGAACAGACTCGGCGAGTAGCATGAATGTTGCCCGACCACACAGTGAGTGGTCTCGCCGAGTTGGGAAGGGTGGACTCAGTGGGTCAGGGGGGAGTCAGAGTGGACAGGTGGACTGAGTCAAACTGGACTCGCCGAGTTGTTCTTGAGACTCGGCGAGTTGAGTCGTGGTGGCCCCACAACTCATGCCAGGTGGAACTCGTCGAGTTGGGAGAATGCTCGACGTGTCAAGGGAGGATCCCAGGGAAATTGGTGTATACGCTCAGACTCGCCGAGTCGCTATAGCGTACTCGCCGAGTCCGGTCAAAGTTGACCGTTGACCGTTGACCAGTGTTGACCTAAGTTGACTTGTTATAGTATGGTCAACCCTAGTTGGGAAAGTGTTAATTAGGGATGTATTGTGCTATAGGGGGACTATAGCTCGGCAGATCGAGTGATTAGCGATTTCAGATTTACGACTTACCGAGACACACGAGGTGAGTCTTCTCATTATACTTTACCTTGAGTAGGTAACCAGAGTTATGTGATAGAGTATTGGTATGCTATGTATGTTACGTGTTGTACTGCATTATTTCTATGTGATTTATGTGGTGCATATTTATCAGAGCTAGAACCTGAGGGTTCACAGAGTTTGGGTGCACGGACCCACAGAGTTATAGCCTCGAGTGGCTAATATGTGTTATATGTGGTATTTTGGGGAACTCACTAAGCTTTGTGCTTACAGTGTTTGATGTTATTGTTTCAGGTACTAGTGACGATCGCGGGAAGGCGCCGGCTTGATCCGTACACACACACGCTCGGAGTTTGATATTATGATCTTGGGATTTTGTATTGTCTTGTTTGGATAATTAAATGGTTGTTTTTATGAATATCGATGGAATTATGTTTTATAGAAATTGAAAATTTTGTTTTGAAATTTACGGTGTTACAATTGGTATCAGAGCCTTGGTTTGAGGGATTCGGGTACACCTTTGGGGGTATTTGAACTCAAACTGAGGAATTGGAAAAGTATTTTCAAAATAAAACCAAAATTTTCTAAGAGTAAAAGATTTTCTTGAAAAGGAAACAGATTCCAGGAAGAAACGTGTGTACGATCAGTCAGCGCCCGAACGGTGAATTCCCAAAATACCTTTATATTATGTGATAATTAATATTAATATGATGTGTTTGCATGCTAGAGTAGGCTAGGTATTGCTAATAGGACTAGAGTGGCCTGATTTGTGATGCCTTAGCCTAGGGAGGGGTGAGCTGCTATGAGATGCTGAGAGTGAGTAGATAGCAGCTAGGGGTTTGTGAGAGATCTGTTAGAAAGTGATTTAAGCATAATAGAGTACTTGGGGATTGGGATCCGAAGAGGAAGATTTGGGGTGTGTACTGAGACGGTGCGGACAGTAGTATTGGGCCCGTACTACTGAAAGTACCGGTGCGGTACACGGCCCAAATAAGAATCTTGGGATACCAAGAATCAAGGAGGGGTGGATTGTCGAATGTAAGAGTGTTCGAGTGAATTCTAATTATCGCATGTTGTATTTCAGAGGTTGATCATGGTGAGGACACGTCACATGCCAGAGGATGCCGGAGCTAGTGATGAGGAGATTCGACAGATCATTCATGAGGAGGTGGCTGCGGTCATCAGAGCTGAGATACCAGAGATGTTTGGGTCTATTAAGACCGCGTTGATTGAGACATTTGACGAGCGCTATGCCGCTCTTTCTGAGGCTGCTGTCGCAGCGGCTACCGCAGCGATCGCTGCGGCGAGGCCCCAGGGAGGTGATGCGTCACTGTTTAGGGAGTTCAGCAACACCAAACCACCAGAGTTTGATGGTACGCAGGATCCGGTGGCAGCTATGAGGTGGATATCTGACATGGAGGGATGCTTCTTCACTTGCTCGTCCCCTGAGCATTTGAAGGTTCGGTTCGCGCTGAACCAGCTTCGCTTGGGAGCGAAGGACTGGTGGAAGTTTGTGACGGCGCACTTCACGCCTACTGAGCTTTCGGCAGTGACCTGGGAGAGGTTCACTACCATGTTCCGAGATGAGTACGTTCCTCAGGTGGAGAGGGAGCGTCTGGCACAGGAGTTTCTGACCCTCAAGCAGGGCACCGAGTCAGTTACAGCGATTACGAGGATGTTTCATGAGAGGGCGATGTTCTGCCCTGAGCACGTGTCCACCGAGCAGGCACGTATGAGCCGTTACCTGAGCATTCTGAGACGGGATATACGGGAGTTCGCTGCGAACTCCTCGTATCGGACATTTTCTGAGCTTCAGGCAAATGCCCGGAAGAGGGAGATTGAGCTTGAGACTCAGGCCAGGGAGGAGGCGGAGTCTCTAGGGAGGGATCGGCGGCCGGCACAGTTCCAGCCGGCAGCCAAGCGGGCCAAGCCCGCTGATCCCAAACCCGGGAGCCAGAGGGGCCGCACTTGTGGGAAGTGCGGCAAGGGTCACGATGGAGTCTGTCGAGCAGGGTCTTGCTACAAATGTGGCAAGGAGGGGCATATGGCCAAGGACTGCCCCAAGGGGTTTGCAGTGTGCTTCCACTGCAACCAGACCGGACACCGGAAGGCAGAGTGTCCGCTGCTGCGCGGAGCGTCTCAGGGATCTGCTCCCGCCGCCATCAGAGCTACAGAGAGTCGGCCCGTGAAGGCCGAGGCACCGAGAGCTCGAGGGAGAGCCTTTCAGCTGACTGCGGAAGAGGTCCGCGCTGCACCCGACGTTGTGGCTGGTACTTTCCCTTTTTATTATTTATTTTTGGTGTTGAGATATTATGCTTATATTATGCTATGCATAGGTACCTTCCTCGTGAACTCTGTACCTGCTTTAGTGTTATTTGACTCGGGTGCGAGTCGATCTTTTGTATCTTTGACATTTAGTCAGCATATCAGTGTTAGTCGTGGGGCACTGAGTCGGCCCCTGCGGGTTTCCATAGCGCCGACAAAGTGATTTGTGCCACGGAGGTCCTCCGGGATGCGTATTGGAGATTTTTGGGGTTGAGTTCCCGATCGACCTGATTCCTATTGCGATGGGTGATGTCTGTGTTATAGTGGGCATGGACTGGTTGAGCCGTTTCGGCGCGGTTATCGATTGCGAGCGTCAGCTGGTGACCATACGAGATCCTAGTGGGAGAATTCTTTCGGTTTACGGCGAGGGTACACGTTCGGGATCAGCCTTTTGTTCGGCCGCTAGGGCGAGGCAGTGTTTACAGCAGGGCTGTAAGGGTTTCGTGGCGTACGTGATGGATACGCGAGTGATCTCCGAGAGACCGAGTTCAGTGGATGAAGTTCCGGTGGTGCGCGAGTTTCCAGATGTTTTTCCCGAAGAGTTACCAGGTGTGCCTCCCGTGAGGCAAGTGGAGTTCGGTATCGATTTGGTTCCGGGAGCCGCGCCTATCGCTAAGGTGCCTTATCGCCTTGCGCCTCCAGAGATGCAAGAGTTATCCTCGCAGCTTCAGGAGTTGCTGGGGAAGGGGTTTATTCGGCCGAGTAGCTCGCCGTGGGGAGCACCCATTCTGTTTGTGAAGAAGAAAGATGGCTCGCATCGCATGTGTATTGACTACCGAGAATTGAATAAGCTGACGGTCAAGAACCGTTACCGTTGCCGAGGATCGACGATTTATTCGATCAATTACAGGGAGCATCTTGGTTCTCCAAGATCGATTTGAGGTCAGGCTATCATCAGGTGAGAGTGCGGGACGAGGACATCCAGAAGACAGCATTCAGGACGCGTTATGGGCATTATGAGTTTGTGGTGATGCCTTTTGGGCTCACCAATGCCCCGGCTGTGTTCATGGACCTCATGAACAGGGTATGTCGGCCGATTGGATCGGTCGGTGATTGTGTTCATTGATGATATTTTGGTATATTCGAGATCTAGAGAGCAACACGAGGAGCATTTGAGGGAGGTTCTTGGAGTTTTGAGATCGAAGAAACTTTATGCAAAGTTTCC